AATTGTGAGATGTCGCCACCAGTCATGGAAGGTAGTTCTAGACTCTCATTCATTATTTTACCCTTCTATCCTCGTCTCGAAAAGACTCTCCGTTCATTTTTTTCTAAACACAAATTAAAAACTATTTTCCAAAACTCTAATAAATTTACGAACATAATCCGACTAGGTAAAGATCAGACTCCAAAATTGAAAAGAAGTGGCATTGTTTACAGAATAGAGTGCGAGTGCGGTTTGTTCTATGTAGGCCAAAGTAAGCGCAGGTTGGCCACACGTATTGACGAACATAAGAGAATGGTTCACAAGTGTGATAAAAATTCTGTCATTGCCGCGCATTGTTCTGAGTTCAGCCATACTTTCAAGTTCGATGAAGTCAAAATTTTGGACCAAGAAAAGAACAAATTTAAAAGGGAATTTTCGGAGATGTTATATATTTCGTACTTCAACCGTAATGTTAACAGAAAACTAGATACCAATAAACTACATGATCATTATAAGTCCTTTTTATATGAACTTAGAGACAGGATGCATGGGTGGCGTTGCTCTTGACGAGTGTTGCTTGATAGGTGTGCCACTTGATGGCCACGTTTCTGTTGGTCCGTGTTTCCTTGTACATACATTGACCGTGGGTGCACCCTTATGTGGTGACAAGACCTTAACACCATATTACTATTTTTAATATCTTCCAGTTACATGTGCTGAGTCAGGATGTGACTTATATTGTAGATAACTTAACTGTACATACATTTTGACTGATAAAGTTTATAATATTAAGATTATTTAATTATTAGTATTCCATTGCCGTGGTTATGACTGACTAGTCTTTATCAGTCATGCTGCGTTTGGCATTTTCATGTTCGCATCTGCATAGGTGACTTATATTTTCATTTAATGTAATTTGTCATAATGTTTTTTATATTATAAATATTGTAAATTGTACAGTTCCCTGAAGAGGGAGTCAGGATGACTCCGAAATATTGGATCACATTGTCCAACTAATATATGAAATAAATAGCCATGCTCCAAGATTCCAAGTTTTTTCATTTAAATTTCCTTAATTATGGCAAAGGAGCAAGAAGACAGTAGTTTTATTATCAAATTGACTATTCAGGTTTGGATGAAAATCAACCTGTTGCTGCATATCTATGCAGCTCACTGGGAAGTTTCTTATGCGGATGGGAGGATGATTGCTGATGGGCGCTGCATGGCTTTCATGATTCAGTCTTTAGTCGGCCCACGCACAATGGACTACCACAAATCACATGAGCTTTATCATGTAGACCTCCATGACGTAACATACAATTTACTATATAATAATGAATATTTTTTCCCTTTTTTTTACTCTCAATTACAATGTATTGCTGATGATTACTATGTTTCCATTTGTAAGTTGTTTTTTAATCTCGATCTCAAATTGTCACAAGATAAGTTACACAATTTCTTTTTATTGAGATGCAGATTCCATGATATTTTCCCTAATCATGTCAATAACTGTATGCGATACTTAAATAGTTTTTCTTTTAAAAATAATTGTTCTATCAATGAAGAATTGTCCAACGTTTTTCTCACAAAAAAAAGAATACTTAACATTGAAATTAAAGACTCACATAGATACATTCACGTTCTCAAACATAGAATATTATCTTGCAAACAAAAAATAGTGAGACGATTTAGTAATAAATTCTTTAATGCTCTTAGTTATTTCTCATATAAAAACCAATATTATAAGCGGTTGTCTCTCCACCATAGATTAGAATGCAAATTTTTACAGTTGACCTCCTTTACTGACAATAAAAAATATGGAAAAAATCGATGTCTTGCCAAATGTAATAATTCAATAAAAGAATATGTAGAGAAATTCAATATTTTTAATGATTTATATAACAAAAACAATAAACATAGTTTAGATGGATGCGTTAAAAACCTATCAAATGTAACACTTCCTGATTCGGTTCTTTTTATTCTTAAACTTGGACCACAATTTAATTTTGTTAGTGACCTAAACGTCAATATGATTTTTAACCTCCTTAAGCCACTGAAGGCTGCCCTAGCTGTTAAAAAAAAAAAAGGAGTTGATACCAGTAAAAAGATTAGACAAACCTATCTTCAAGTAATTAAGAAAAATATTTTTAATTCTAAGAAAATTAGTTATTTCGACAAAACCATAAATAATCATTTGAATAAGACAAAAATGTTCTTAAAATAACATAGAGAAATTTTGGTTACCAGGGCCGACAGGGTGGCGCAACCGTTGTTATTAATAAAACAGACTATATTAACAAGGTTGAGAGGGCACTCGGTGACAGTATGTATTACCATCGGCTCGATAGTCAAAAAAGAGCTAACCATCTCACTCGTATTATCAATTCTACAAAAAAACTGGTCGATGTATGGGATAATAGGGGTGTCTTTGATACCGTTGAGATTGACCGGCCTGATGTCAATCAACTGAGTGGTTGTAACTTGGCCAAAGCGTATGGCCTTATTAAGGTACACAAGCCTGGGCTCCCCGTGAGAATCATTGTTTCCGCTATTGGNTCGCTCGATCGATGTTCCGCGACCTAAACTTCGGATCTGCTAGTTTGAAACATTTGTCAATTAATGAAAAGACTATTGCGATTTTTTGTGACACTGGGTTGTGAAAGAAAAAGTTTAGAAGTCTACCAGAAGATGAAGGCTTACTATATAAATCTATTTCACAAACGGAATCTGCGATACGAGTGATGGTGACGTCAAGAAACGGAATGACGCCGTTGTCTTCACGTTCAACCGTGAACTGTATAAAAGGGTTGAAATCATTAAAAATTGCCAAAACAGTGTCAACACTGTCCGATCGGATGATCAAGAGACAGTCATCCACGTATCTCCTATACATCAAGCAAGAATCTCTACATCTCGGCAACACGGATTTCTCCAGGGACTCCAAAACGATTTCTGCAATCCAAGGAGATGTACATCCACCCATGGGAGTACCACATGTCTGTTTGTACGTATGATTGTTGAAAGTGAAATAGTTGGAGTTGATTAGGAAGTCTAAACCATCTAGAAATTCTTTTCTGTCTAGATGCATGCTGTCAAGAATACGCCCAATCTTCTCCTCAACACTTTTTTTGATGAGAGAGAAGGGAAGGTTTGAGTAAAGGTAAACCACATCAAAAGAGACCAATAGATAGTTATGTGGAACAATGAGATCCCTCAGCGTTGATTTTAGATCATACGAATTTTTTAAGGAACTGGGTGATCTTTTGTAAAACTTATTGAAAAATTTCGAAAACCATTTGTCGAGTGTATAGGTTGGAGAACCAATAGCGGAAACAATGATTCTCACGGGGAGCCCAGGCTTGTGTACCTTAATAAGGCCATACGCTTTGGCCAAGTTACAACCACTCAGTTGATTGACATCAGGCCGGTCAATCTCAACGGTATCAAAGACACCTCTATTATCCCATACATCGACCAGTTTTTTTGTGGAATTGATGATACGAGTGAGATGGTTAGCTCTTTTTTGACTATCGAGCCGATGGTAATACATACTGTCACCGAGTGCTCTCTCAACCTTGTTAATATAGTCTGTTTTATTAATAACAACGGTGGCGCCACCCTTGTCGGCCCTGGTAACCAAAATTTCTCTATGTTCTTTTAAGAACATTTTTGTCTTATTCAAATGATTATTTATGGTTTTATCAAAATAACTAATTTTCTTAGAATTAATAATATTTTTCTTAATTACTTGAAGAAAGGTTTGTCTAATCTTCTTACTGGTATCAACTTCTTTTTTTTTATTAACAGCTAGGGCAGCCTCCAGTGGCTTAAGGAGGTTAAAAATCATATTGACATTTAGGTCACTAACAAAATTAAATTGTTGTCCAAATTTTAGAATAAAAAGAACTGTGTCAGGAAGTGTTACATTTGATAGGTTTTTAACGCATTTATCTAAACTATGTTTATTGTTTTTGTTATATAAATCATTAAAAATATTGAATTTCTCTACATATTCTTTCATTGGATTATTACATTTGGCAAGACATCGATTTTTTCCATATTTTTTATTGTCAGTAAAGGAAGTCAACTGTAAAAATTTGCATTCTAATCTATGGCGGAGAGACAACCGCTTATAATATTGGTTTTTATATGAGAAATAACTAAGAGCATTAAAGAATTCATTACTAAATCGTCTCACTATTTTTTGTTTGCAAGATAATATTCTATGTTTGAGAACGTGAATGTATCTATGTGAGTCTTTAATTTCAATGTTAAGTATTCTTTTTTTTGTAAGAAAAACGTTGCACAATTCTTCATTGATAGAACAATTATTTTTAAAAGAAAAACTATTTAAGTATCGCATACAGTTATTGACATGATTTGGGAAAATATCATGGAATCTGCATCTCAATAAAAAGGAATTGTGTAACTTCTCTTGTGACAATTTGAGATCGAGATCAAAAAACAACTTACAAATGGAAACATAGTAATCATCAGCAATACATTGTAATTGAGAGTAAAAAAAAGGGAAAAAATATTCATTATTATATAGTAAATTGTATGTTACGTCATGGAGGTCTACATGAT